TGCACCACTCCACCACAATAGGTCGTTCTTTTTTTTCCCCCCCGTTGAAAAGAGGCGGGGGATAAAAAAAAAAAAAAAAACAAAACAAAAAAAAAAGAAAGAAAAAAAAAAAAAGAAAAAGCCCCGGGCTGAAAGGCCTGGGAAGGCCTGAGTGACAGGGGGGCCGGGGGAGGGCAGGGGAAGGACTATGTGTATCCAAGCAGCAGAGACTGCAGCCTGACGTGTGGTTTTAATGACCAACACGCAGGTCAAAAGCATTTTGCACAGTGTTTGTTTTCCTGTCTTGCACTTACAAATAAGGTCTATGGGAGTAGCATGGAAAACGTTTGCTGTTTTTTCCTTTTTTTTTTTCCCTTTTTTTTTTCCTCTGCTTTTGTTTAAAATTTGATCGCCTTAACTACTGTAAACATAGCCTATTTTTGTGCTTAAGATACTGAATGGAAAACTCCATTGTGTATTGCTGGACTGTTTTGGAAATATTTGGTCAAATGTGTGTTAATTTGGCTGTAATGGCATTTAAAACAAAAAAAAAAAAGCTGTGAAAATGGCCTTGGAGCGTTATCTTTAGTTACTTGAATAGTTTCTAGGTTTTAAAACTACATTCTTTTCTTAAGTTAGAGAAGACAATCAGTGTCTGAGGAAAATGGACTTTCTCTTGGATTTTTTTGTGGTCCTCGTGAGTGATTTGCTTTTTTCCTTTCCTTAGTTTCACATTCTTCTTTTGTTCTAAAACTTAGACTGACATCTAGCTTTGACAATCATAGTATGTTTTATTTTCCTGAGGGGGGAATAACTTATAATGCTGTTTAGTTTTGTACTATTGGTGTGTTGGTGAATTTTTAAACTGTGTGCTAACTGCAATAAATTATATGAACTGAGAAATCAATTCCCTTGTCTTTTTTCCCTCTTTTAAATTATAGTTACGGAGTATTTTTTATAATGTGTAACTTTATTACTTTTGTACAGACTTCTATTGCTAACTGTGTATGGAATATGTTTTCAGTATGCTTTTGAGCACTTTGTTGCTAACGTACATATTTACATCTCACTTAACATTTAAAAAAATTAAATGCTTGTGTTTTGAAAGCATTTCTGTGTGTGTAGCTCTCGATCATTCTGTAGAGGGATTTTTTTATTATTATTTTTTTTCTTCCCCAAAGACTTTTGCAGAAGCAATCTATTACATTCCAGAAATTTTGCTACCGTGCAAATATCTGCGCAGACACACAATTCCTTTTCTGGGCTTAATTTCACCCCAAGGAGCTCTCTCGGGCTCGCTCTTTTGTATTCAGTCTCTATCAGAACATTAGAGCAGAAGGCAACAACTTAATCTGAAGCACAGGCCGGGTGCTGACTGGCCGTTAACGTTGCAGAAGGCAGTCGAAATGTCCAAAATACCGGTAATAGATCAAAACTGTCTGGACTACAGAGGAAAATTAAAATAATCCTAAGTCTGTTTGGGGATTTCTCTTGCGGACTAGAAGTTTCTTTAAAAAAAATAAAATGAAGCTTAGCGAAACCTTGAAAAAGACCTGGTTTAGGTGCTTGTTGCAGGGTAGACCCAGAATTCCTGAGGCTGCTCCATCCTAGGAACGAGACCAGCACTGCGGAGCCCAATGGGAATACGAAAGTAGAGCTAAATTAGAAGTCTGGAACACAGACAGCAGGACCAATCTGAAGGGGAAAAAAAATTACCTTCATTTAAACATTTCATTACATTTGTCATCTGCCTAGGTACAACTGAAGTTGTGCCTTGACCAAGTGAATCTCGGTGCCTGACGCTTTTTTTCTGCTTACCTTCCTACATCTGCGGTAATTTGTACTTAGCCAAAATGATCTTTTTCACTGTTTTATTCTTTATAACAGTTTTCAATCATCATTTGCTGTGTTTGGGTTTTGGGTTGGTTTTTTTTTTTTGAGTTATTACAGGTATTTTGAAAACATTTCCTTTTGTCAATGTAAGCATCTTCAGCCACGTAGACTTCTTTTTTTCTAGCAGCAGACCTTTTCTGTGGGCTTTCGTATGATAGAATATTATGTGGAGTTAAGACAGTTTAAAGTATCGTCAAGACTGAAAAACAGCTAATATTGCAGTTCTGAAATCTGTGCAGCTGATGAGCTTTGGATGTGGCTCTAGGCAGATTCACCGTTTGTTCTCCAACATTAAGATTTTCAAGGACTGTAGATTCCCAAATAAAACTAGACTTAGAAGACGCCCTTCTTCAGAAGGGTAACAGAAAACATAACTTAGCCATTAACGACAAAATAATTCAAAATCTCCTTTATACTTTTGGGTTTTATCTAGATGGTCGATACATGTGCAGCACACACTTGCTTGTGGCTATCAAAGTGTTTCTTCAATGAAAAGATGAAACATACTCCTGTGTGTTGCATCTCTCCATGAGGTTTAATGCACTGACGTAGCTAAACAGCTGTAACTTTTTTTTCTTTTTTGTTTTTTGTTTTTTTTTTTTTTTTAATACAGTCCCTAGATAATGAAGCGTGAGAGAACATTTTATGTGGCTTGAGGATATGTGGTAACAAAATCCTCACCGTTCATGTTGCCATGATGGTCGAAGGCAAATTGCGGGAATGGAAACTGCACGCTCTTCGTAGGTTCAGAAGACTTTCTCTGACCGGTGATAGTCGCCACTTTTTAACTGTGAGTACTTCTAGCCCAAGACTCACAGGGAACGTGCTAAATATATCGTTCAACTATTTTTTTTAACTACTGCCTGTGATAGCTTAGTATTCTTTAATTATGAATGATTTCTCTAAACTCAAGCTTCGGGATTTGGTGTAACAGAGAGTTTTGAATCAGGTATAGCATTCTACAGACCATCGACTTACCGAGACCTTTACATGTTTTAGGTGCAATTTGAAGAAGACCTTGGTAGGAGTTTAAAATAAAACTTTCTGGCCACAGAAGGGAGGGGATCCTCACTGCTTTTCCTGCTCTCCTGCGTTAGGGTAAAAGCGAATACCAAACAGTCCAGTATACTTCTGCTGAGCCCGAGTGAAACCAGTATATCCCTTCAAAACTTGCACAGCCTTGTTGGAAGCCTAAATAAAATTTTAAAGTTAATTTGCAAAGGGACAGATTCCCTTTTTGCCCTGTGCTACCTCACCCCAGCAGCCGCGCTGGCTCACCTGCTCGGGAAGGACACCACCATTTTCTCTCCCTGCCGCGGCGTACCCGCTGCTTTCCTTCTACAGAGAGTGGATCAAGGGATTTGTCAGTGGTGGACTGACTTCCCCCCCCCCAATTAATTCTACAACAATCAGATGTTCTAACTTTTTAATGGACTCCTAATATATAACTTTTAAAACGCATCTTTCCAGCCTACTTTCAGAAATGAAACCCTGAGCCCCCCTTTTTATGATCAACGATGCTGCAGCAATTTGTAGCTGAGGAGAACTTGGAAGGGAAGTAAATTTCTACCTGCTCCCTCCCCTTACTTTGAAGCAATGCAAATTCCTTCAGAATGGAGGTGAAATATGTTTCGAGTCTGCAAAAATACCCTAAAATTAGAAAACTGATTCTAAAATATTGTCATGTAGTCCTCTGTAGTAGGGTTCTCAAACTTATACATTATTAACACTATTCGTCCATGTGATTTCCAAACTGAAATATTTCCTGAGAGTATGGTCTTTTACTAAAGAAATCTAACCAAAGCATGAAGGTTTTTTTACTGGGATGGTAAATACGAATTTTAACAGAACTGTCTGATATTTTTGAAGGGAGGAAAAAGTGACGCACAGATCTTCTGGGCTCTTTCAAAATATTCTAGTTCAGGAGTCCTTGTTTAATTTTTGTTGCGCTTCACTCATATCTTAATCATGTCCTTAAATATAGTGAGTTTGGTAATAAAAAATATTTTCTAGGTGGTAAGAGAGGAGTTCTTTCTTTATTTGTATGAATGCTTTTGGTCAGAAGGTGGAAATGTTCCCTTTTGCCGGCAAATGAAGATAGTCACAGGAAGAAGAGCCCTGCTTATTAAAACCTACAGCCAGCAGCTCCTGCTAGTGTGATAAAATTCAGCTAAACCTGTTAATGGGTCTTACCGATGAGAGATTACATCCTTTTTGAAAAGATTATCCATTTTAGTCTCGTAGGCTAAAAAAGAGGCATTACTTTTAACCGATGGTTAAACCGAAATGCTCTCAGTGCAAACAAGACGCAGCTTACCCAGCTCTGCCAGAGCAAGAGAGGGGTGAGTCTTCTGCACAGCCAGGCAGCAGGAAAGCCAAAGGTGGTACAGGCTTAACTGTGGCAGTGACGGCGAACGCTGCAGAGGTTTTGAGTGGTAGAGATGTTTGCCAAAATAAAAGTTCTTTTTTTTTTTTTTCCAAAATAATCCATGTTTGACCTGGAGTATTTCTCTTACATTGGAATTTCTTGGGTTAGTTCATTTTTCAGACTAACAGAACTTGCCTAGGTTGTCTGCTTATAATCTTCAGGTTCATTTTGCTTTAATTCAGTTTCTTACTTCCAGGTTTTTTTCCTTAGAAGACAGTCACTCCACTAATACACCGTCGTCTTCGTGCGGAACATACACGGTTTTCACTCTTGAGAACTCCTTAACGTTAACCATTTGCAGCAGGGGGCCACAAGTGCTCACCCCTCTGCGGGAACGCTCCCCTCGCTGGGACAGACTTTGTGCCTCTCCTGTACCACGGCTGTTATCGTGGGGCCAAATTTTCTTTTCTTTTTGAGATTTTACAGCCTGGCTCTAACAGGCTTTTGCTTGGGGCTACAAGGGAGAACGTACGCAGTCTAGCCTTGGAGCTGAAATTTCCATGTTATTGGGGATTTTGGGGATTGCAGGAAACAAATAAACGATTAATTGCAAAATACAGCTGGTGATTATTTTTTAGGATTTTTTAATGTGCAGAGTTTTGTTATTTCTCAGCCTCAGCATTGCACTTTAAAATGCGTATTGTGTACGAACATATGTGTGTGCATGTGAA